GAAGGCCCGGCCACCGATGGTAGGGCGGTTAGGGCGGGGGATGTAGAGCAGACCGGAGCCAGAGGAATGGAGGGTACGGGCAGGTAGGTAGGGGGATAGTAGGTCGGAGAGGTAGGAGGGTGCAAGGCCGTGAATGGCCTTGTAGGTGAGGATGAGGATCTTGAATTCAATCCTCTGGGGGATGGGGAGCCAGTGGAGGCGAGCGAGGGTGGGAGTGATGTGGTCCCGAAGCCTGGTGCGGGACAGTACACGAGCTGCAGAGTTCTGAATGACCTGCAGCTTGTGGAGGGAGGTGCCGGGAGGGCCGGCGAGGAGAGAGTTCCCATAGTCCAGCCTTGAGGTGATAAAGGCGTGGACCAGAGTTTCAGCAGCGTGAGGGGTGAGGTAGTGCCGTAGTTTGGCCGTGTTTCGGAAGTGATGGAAGGCCGTGCCAGTTGTGGCGCGGATATGAGGAAGAAAGGACAGCTCAGGGTCGAACAGAACCCCGAGGTTCCTGACTGGCTTTGAGAGGTGGAGAGTGCAGCCTTGGATGCTGATGCTGTCAGCGCCTGAGGTGCGGGAGGCGCTGACGCGAGGCAATCAGGAGGGCCTCAGTTTTGCGCACGTTGAGCTGAAGAAAGTTATCTCTCATCCAGGACTCGATGTCAGAAAGGCAGCTGTCAGGACATCGGTGGTCGTGGAGTTGAGGGTAGAGGAGGAAAGGTAGAGTTGGGTGTCATCCGCATACATGTGGAAGTTAGCCCCATGTCACCAAGTGGGAGCATATAGAGGGTGAAGACGAGGGGACCGAGGACAGAGCCCTGAGGGACACCACACGAGACAGTGCGGAGGCTGGAGGAAAAGCCGTTTGTGGAAACAAAATGAAGACGGTGTGAGAGGTACGACCTAAACCACTCAAGGACAGTGCCTTGAAGGTTGAGGTTGGAGGACAAGTGGTGGAGGAGGATAGCATGTTCGACCATATCGAATGCGGCCGATAGGTCAAGGAGGACGAGGAGGCAGAGGGAGCCCTGGTCGCAGATGGTCAAGATGTCATTGGTGACCTTGACCAGGGCGGTTTCTGTACTATGGGCAGCACGGAAATCCGACTGAAGGGGTTCGAATAATGAATGGATGGAGAGGAAAGAGCGCAGCTGGGACGTGACAACTCTTTCAAGGACCTTCGACAGGAAGGGGATGTCGGAGATGGGCCGGTAGCTTGATAGCTGTGGCGCATCAAGGGAGGGTTTTTTCAAAGTGGGAGTGATGGTGGCAGTTCTTAGGGGAATGGGAACAGAGCCAGAGGAGAGGGACAGGTTGATGATGTCTGTGAGAAGTGGGGCAAGGAGGTGGAGCTCAGAGATAAGGAGTGGAGTGGGGATGGGTTCAAGGGACTAGGTGGTGGGTTTCAGGGACAGGATGAGTTTGGTGACAGAGGGTGGGGAAACGGGTTCGAAGGTGTGTAGGGGAGGATGGGTAGGAGTCGGAGTGTGGGAGGGAGGGGGTGGGGGGTGGGTGGAAGTTGGAGGGGCAGTGACCGCGGAGCGGATTCCCTTGATTTTGGATTCAAGGAAATCCAGCATCTCCCCGCGGTGAAGGTTGGAGGAGATGACCTGCGTGGGGTGGCAGGGGCTACGGAGGAGTCGGGATGTGGTAGAGAACAGAAGCCTGGGGTTGTTCTTCGTCTCCAGGATTATCCTGGAGTAGAAGGACGACTTGGCCGAGGCTAGAGTGGAGCGGTAGATTTTGAGGAGTTACAGCCAGATTTGTCGGTGGACCGTTAGGCCAGATTTGAGGCAGGTGCGTTCAGCGGCCCGCACCTGGCTCTTCAGTGACTGGAGGTGGGTGGTGAACCAGGGGGAGGAGCGAGCGTAAGAGACAGTACAGGAGGTGATGGGGGCAAGAGTGTCGAGTGTCGAGACCTTGCTGGTCTAAATGACTGCCGTGCTTGCCTACTACTACAATCACTACACTTTGCAGTAATTCCTGTGAAGTGTTTTTCAACATGATAAGATACTGTGAAAGTATATGTTCTTACTTTGTTTTTTATATTTTTATTGATGGTTTGTACCTCAGGGTTTATGCATTTTTATTCTCTATTTTGTTTGTGGGAAACCAGAGAAAGATTGTATGAAATTGATTCAGCAGCTTGGGAAATTCAAGGATGGAAATTAATGGAGGCTGCATAAGACTTGGATCAAAGAATCTCTATTGGTTTTAGGGGGTGAGTTGGTGTAACACTGTTTGGTATCCTGGAGGGAGGACTGTGGGTTAAAGAATTAAATACTAGTATTTGATATAGCACCTTATTATTTCATCAAAAGTCTCAAAGCACTTCACATGATTTACTGGTTAGTGCAATGACTGTGTATTTTGTAGGCAAACACAGCAGCCAATTTGCTCAGAGCAAACTTCCAGGAGGTGAATGATCAATTTTACCTGGGGCGGTGGGTTAGGGAGCGGGGGGCGGTGTGTTTGCTGGAACATCAGAAGAATCTCCCTTCTCTTTTTAAATAGAGCTACGGGATATTAAATGTCCACCTGAACAAGTAAACAGAACCATGATTTAACATCTCATCCAAAGGATGGCATATCGGACAATGCGTTACTCAGCACTGATTTGGAGTGTCAGCCTGGACTATGAGCTCAAATTCCCAACAGGGGCTTGAATCCACAACCTTCTGGCTTGAGAGTGCTACTACCTGAACCGGACTGACACTGGGGCCTGGGAAAATCCCCCTGCTCCTTTTGAATAATCCCATGGGATATATAGTGTTTACCTGAAGAGGCAGATGGGACCTCAATTTAATGGCTGAGTCCGAAACGTATACATGAAGCGTTCTAAAACAATGTATTGTACTTGATTCTGTTAATCGTGTTCTTCTGCACTTACTTTGACCTATGTTTCTCCTCTATGCGTTCTTCCCTGATGCCTAACAACGATCACTGGTTGAGAGAGTGGGTGGATGATATACCATCAGAATGTTGCTCAAGGTGCCCTGGAGGCAGCATGAGTTGGAAAGCTTGCTTCACTGAATTATTTCACCTTTTACGAACAAGTGCCAGATGACTACTCAACTTCTTCACCTAGAATTCACTCTGTGAGCATCCGTGATTCCTACCATTCCATGGCTCACCAGCTTGGCACATCAATGCATTCATGCTCCACAATGCTTAATCTCTAAATAATGGTGGTGGGTTTCCTCATGAGTCACACACCCGGCTGACCCCAAAATAATTATAAGTATATTTTAAAAGGTGTTTTTATCTCTCAATTACTGTTGTAAGATATATCTTAAATTATGTAAGAAAGCAAAGACTGAAATATCTGCATTCATTTTATCATTTAGGAAAAGAAATACTTTAATTGACATTACATTACATTTTACATTGAAATGCAAATCTGCTTCTTCTTACTAAATTACTAGGCATTAACTTTTTGAATATTGAGTATATTTTTAACACAAAACTCACATCTACAACCATTAGCTGATATGTTCTCACATGACTGCTAAGACCATAAAAATGAATTCGATTTGAAATGTTATTCTTCTCCCAAGTTTAGTTTGGAAGCAAGTTGAACCATTGTCAGCATTTCCCTGACATCTGGCTGCAAAAGAGGCCTCCAGGCCATCAACTTGGAGGGTGTACAACAGAGGATAATTCAGAGATTTCAATCAATTGAATAAATGATCCATAAAAAGTATATATTCTCTTGTCTTCCTGCAGAGTGTAAGAAGAGTCTCAATGTCTATCTGTAGGAGTTATCTTTATTCACATATCTGATTGTAAGTAAGAGCAAGGAACTGCTATGTTAAGGATAATTGAGAAAATGAGGATAAGTTAACAGGAGTGAAAGTTTTTTGGTAGTTGTGCATCATGTTACTGCTTGAATAAATCATTAAATAAGTTATTTATTGATTTGGTGCATAAGATGAAAGAAACAAGAAGAAAGGTTGTCTTAAATATTTACAAAGATGATGCAGTGTGCTCCCAGACATTTTTCCGATATCAGGCAGTGTAAAACAACTTTATTTTGCTATAAAATAATCATTATGTTATCATTGTGTCATAAATAACATATCTAAAAGTTATGTATTTGAAAAGCTACAACTTAAGTTATCTTACCCTCTCCCACAGTTTTCGGGGTTAATGGTGTCCTGCACTGCAGGCTTTGCTATTTCCTTAGTTTACTCATTGAACAGATTAGAAATTTATATTAGTGCTATTCACTAAGTCTCCTGGCACCACATTATGTTCCCCTGTTACAAAGGTGCTCAGGTTCCCAATCTTTTTTTACACACTCCACCAGTTTTTCTCCGCCAATTCTTTCCCTCGTCCTCCTGAAGACTGTAGACTCTTTTTACGGGGATGCAGTTGCCCTCCGATACCTATTCACGATGCTGTTATCCATGTGTGCTGCTTGATAGTCAGCACTGTCACACAATTCAACTGAAAGGGGCATCACACACAAATCAAATCCTCTCCCAAATGTCCATCCATGCATGCCTTCCAGAAAGCATTGCTGGACAGTGATCAGAAGCAAAACCCTTGGCTGATTTTTTCTCCTCCACACCCAGGAGTGCTATGGCCAATTATAGTATCCTTAATTGCTTGTCAGACTGAGATAAACAGACTAAACCTAGATTTGGATGTGAACTTGTACTTTTCTAATGTGTCTGTCCTAGTTTTCACTTACCTTTTACCTACCACACTATTGGAGAGCTGTTAATGTTATTCATGATCAGTCAAGCAAGAGTTGCAAAAGCAGGCTGACGTTCCTGCCAGAGGCTGATATTATTTTCTTCCCCATGGGAAAATGTCTGTCTTTCCCCTGGTGCCTCTCCTCGGCCGCCACATTTGGAGTCAGGAATTCGGGGTTCAGAGGCATCAATTTGCATTGAATCACTACGTGGCACAGTCTGCGAGAATATCAATGAACTTCACAATGCCACTGCACTGTCACTTCAAATGTAATGGATTTTTATTGATATCAGCAGTCAAGGAGTTAAGGGAAAGATTTAACTTTTCTGTAAAGCTAGAATTAACCCCTTTGCGGAACAGAATATGCCTGAAATAGCACAAAATAATCCGAGGAGTAAGATAGAAATGTCCAGGAACCTTTCAAAATGGCCCAATTTGTGCCACAGTAATTTCAAGTGAAAAAATGAAGGGAGGAGGAAAGTCATTGCAGTACCTGTGACACTGCCTGTTAATCCCATTAAGAGGGTAAAATGAGGCATGAACATGGCCATTAGGAGGGTTGACAGCAACAAACATCCTCGCAAAATAAGCACCTTGCCTTCAATTGAACCCAGCTTCAGGAGACAGTTTTGTAAAACCTCAGCAGCTGCGTAAAAAGGCAGTGGATAGGAAAGGAGAGCCTTTGCCACCAAGCACACACTTACCAGGAACCGCAGGGTGAAGGGCAGATTGTCTGTGATCATTTCTTTTGTTTGGTTCCCCCAGGTTAAAAATGCAACCAGAGCGAAGAGTGTCTTAAACAGACATGCAGACAAATGAGTCCAGGTCATCATGCACACAAAATCACTTTTGTGTCTCATACTGCCTTCTAAGGTGGGCAGGAAAATTTGAGAAGTGTAGCTGAAAATAATAACCCCAACTGAAATCAGGAATTTCTCAAAGTCCACCGTGAAGGTGAGCTTTTTCCACGACCATTGTTGCAACTGTGTCAGACAGTAGGCAATGACAATAAAAGTTACAACAAAATGCACCAAGGAGCAAAGGAGGCTCAGCTTTGAGACTATTCTGAAATTTTTTATGAACACACAGGGCACCAAAATAACAAATGCTGTTATGAACCAGGTTTTCTCAGACACTTGTGGAAAACTGTGAAACATGAGGTTTCCACTCACCACCAAATACAAAACACAAGTCATGATCAGTTCAATAACTTGGGCACAATTAACAACTCTGCCTCCTAGTTTAGGGAATACTTGCTTGCAGCAGGCATTGGCGATGTCTTCGTATGATGTCCTCACTCTGACATGCTGTCCTTCTTCATTTTCTTCATATAAGCAGGCGACGAGAATTTTTCCAGTGTAGCAGCAAATCACAGCAGCGAGGATGATAAGAAACAAACCGACATATCCACTGTGCAGAACTGCATATGGCAATCCCAAGACAAAAATACCCTGGAGAGAAACAAAAAAAACAAGACCCTTAAGTCAAATATGTCTCATAAGAAGGAGATGCGTTACTGTTCATCATATGTTAAATTATTTAGGTTCTTATCTATTTTAACTCCCAAAACAGTTATTACACTTGACAGTGATTACTTATGAAGTGCTTTTTTGCATGTGACAAGGTACGATAAAAATGTACCTTTTTTTCTTTCTTTACTTGCAATTGATAGGAATCAATGAAGCAACGAGTCAATTCTGTGGAAGACTTATGCACCTAAGATGATAGTAGCTCATTGACTGTGCAAGGCCTTGCAATTGTAATACTATATTTACTGGGGCTGAAGTACATATCTCAGAAGCAATGAGCTGTATCTCACTTTAAATGAGCATGTTGCAGTGTCGTTTTGTACAAAGCCATAAATAGAAGATAATACTGTAATATAAAACTAATGAAGCCATCTCTGAGAAGGAAATACAGCTTCAGGACTCATATTCATTAACTTTGCGTGCACATAGTGCTTGAATTTATCTTTTAATAAGATGCCCCCAAGGAAGTTGTACACAAAACTCCCAACTTGTCCTATTAATTAATCCTGGCAATGGAAAAAAAATTGCTTTTCAGATTCCAGAATCAGCATCTCCAAACCCTATTTTCCTTTGCAGAGTTCATATTGGTGTTGCGAGATGATTTGCTTATCCTTTGAGATAACAACAATAACATTTCATTTGTATAGCGTCTTTCACGTTGGGAGGACACCCCAAGACGCTGGACAATCAGTGTTTCGGACCTGAGCTGGGTGTTAGGACCGGGGAGGGCGGAGGGTGGGGGAAGGAGGCTGATCAAAGGCACAGTCAAAGAGAAGGATCTTGAGATGGGTTTTGAAGGAGGCAAGAGAGGGGGCAAGACAGAGGGATTGAGGGATGAGAGACAGTGGTGAAGACGGGTGATGTTGCGGTGGCGGAGCAAGGCAGAGCGGATCATGGCACAGATATGGGGGATGAAGGATAGTTGAGTGTCAAACAGGACGCACTGACCTAACACAGCTCCCCCCAGCCTGACCTGCAAACAGTGAACCTCACTACCCCCAGCCTGACCTGCACACAGTGACCCTCACTACCCCAGCCTGACCTGCACACAGCGACCCTCACTACCCCAGCCTGACCTGCACACAGAGACCCTCACCAGCCCTGACCTGCACACAGAGACCCTCACTACCCCCAGCCTGACCTGCACACAGCGACCCTCACTACCCCAGCCTGACCTGCACACAGAGACCCTCACTACCCCAGCCTGACCTGCACACAGCGACCCTCACTACCCCTAGCCTGACCTGCACACAGAGACCTTCACTACCCCAGCCTGACCTGCACACAGAGACTCTCACAATAATGTCACAAAACTATTTCTCCTGAACAATCACACCTTTGCTTATCTTCTGAAGACTTTATAACAAACCCATGCTATTACAACTGCTAGCAAATTCTTACAACATATACATTGCATGTGTCAGCCTGGCTCGGTTGGTAAGCATTCTCTCCTCTTCGTCACTAGGTTGTGAGTTCAAGCCCCACATCAGACTTGGAACCCATATAGAAAAAGTTGGCACTCCAATGCAGTTCTAGGGTGTGCTGCATTGTTGGAAGTGCCATTCCTTGGATGAACTGAAACCTTGCCTGCCTGTTCAGATTGGTGTTGTAAATCCCGTGGCAGTAAACAAAAAAAGAAGTTTCTCCTGGTGTACTGGTCAACAATCCCCCAAATAAAAAAGTGGTTATTCTGTTTGTGGGTCATTACACTTTATAGTATATCCTGTGAAGTGCTTCGAGATGTCTTCCTGACAAGAAAGGGACTCAATCAAATGTATTTTCTGTCCTTCATTAGGACAGAATTACCCCCCCATCCCTCATTTCTGCATGTGTAATTGGAAAGTATCTTACAAAATTGTGAGCCCATTGCAGTGAACATTGGCAGTCTATTCATTCATGAGAACCAATGCAGTCCCATTCTGTTCAAATTGAATACTGCAATAATTATAGATAGTATTGTATCCATCACTATGGGTCCTCAGGTGTCCAGACAACATTGTCAAGCCCTTTGAGACATCCTTCCAATGTGAAAGGTACTATGTAAATTGCATTGTATTATCTTGATGTAAGATGAAAAAGAATTTAATTTGATATAGTGCCTTTCATGTTGGGAGGACATCTCAAAACGCTTCACAGGATTTACTGCAAAATGTAGTGACTGTATATTTTGTAAAAGAATGTAGATATGGGACTAATCCAAGGCACTGTGGCCAATTGTAGCCCCATGATGGTTGCCCCAGCTGAGATCTGTGCTAGTGGCTTAGAACACTATAATAATAAAGATTCTTGCATTTGAGATAGCGCCATATCACGTTGTTGAAACGTTTCAAAGTGCTTCACAGAATATACTGTAAAGTGGAGCAACTGTGTATTTGTGGACAAACACAGCAGCCAATTTCGCACAGTGTAACGCCTGAATCAAAAGACTGATTATTAATAGAGCATGCTGCATGATTGTACATCAGCAGTATCAGAAGTCATGAAAGATTCTGCATAGGTACAGAATTTTTGGTCAGCCCATACAGCCATGTATCAGGAATCAATGCCACAGGTTAGGTTAGCTGGCTATCTGACGCATGATGGTAAAATGTCATCACATCTACATGATCTACGTGACATAATCTACTGTGCATCACCTCCACCCTTTCTACAGTTCACTCTGTGTTTATAATTAAGCTAATGTCTAATTGCTCATGGTGAGAAGGTGCATATGGAAGGTGCAGCTTGTGGTGCAGCGCTGGTTCAGTTGCAGGGAGGTAGATCCTTTGTTGTTGTTGTTGTAGATCCTTTGGAAGTCACAGAAGGGAACCATTGGTGTGGAACCCGTTGGCTGTTAATGGCTTTGGCAGAGCCTTTGGTTCTGTGTGAAGAGATGTGGAAGTAGGGGCAAGGTAGATACGAATAAGGAAGCAGAATGCACAAGATTGGTTACATATTCACAGCACAACTTATACAGAAAAATATCAATGCCTTTCACATGGCAAGAAAAAGAAACTTACATTCAGTAACTTGTTTCATTTGACTCATCATGTTCTATATCAATATCCCCCAGTTCCATTAAAGCATCCTTCCTGAAGATTTCAACAATCCTCATAAGTTTCACCCACAAAATACACACTCAATCCACTTTACGATATATTCTGTGAAGTGTTTTGAGACGTCTCAACAGTGTGATAAGGCGCTATATCAAATGCAAGAATTATTATTACTATAAGTAAATTTATGGAGAGTGGCTCTTCTCCAGTCCTATTTGCTGGGGAGCTGTTGGATTCTAATCTAATGGAATATAATAATAATAATAATCCTTGCATTTGGTATAGTGCCTTATCATGTCTTATGGATGTCTCAAAGCGCTTCACAGAATATACTGTAAAGTGAATTGACTGTATATAATAATAATAATAATCTTTGCATTTGATATAGCGCTTTTCACGTCGAGAGGACGTCCCAAAGCGCTTCACAGAACACACTGTAAAGTGAATTGACTGTATATTTGTGGGCGAACGCGGCAGCCAATTGCGCACAGCAATGTCCCACAAACAGTCGTAGATTGAAAATGACCAATTTATTTATTGTTTTTGGTTTTGGAGGGATTATTATTAGGCGTGTGGAGTAAGGAAACTTGCCCAAGGTTTCGCCCTGCCTGGAATTGAACTCAGGTCTCTCGCTTGCAAAGCGAGTGCTCTAACAACTGAGCTACAGGACTCCACATATATTTGTGAGCAAAACGCGGCAGCCAATTGCACACAGTAGTGTCCCACAAACAGTCTTGGATTGAAGTCACCAATTTATTTTTTTTCTTGAGGAATTATTATCAGACGTGTCAGGCGATATTATCATCAGGAATATAAGTACGGGTGCATCAATAGATTTCCCTCACAAAGCTCAGACTATTATAGATGCAGCAGTGGTTTTAAAATATATGTAATTATCGCTGTGTATTATTCAGTGCTATTACGATGATAAGTGCAGGAGGTAAGCTTACCAAGGTACTTACTTTCTCTGGGTACCTTCAACAGATTACAAATCTTTTTCCAGACTTCTTCCCAGGTCCACAGTATCTTGGTTTCACTGCATTCATTGGATCATCACACTGGACCTCACTTGCTCTGTACCTAGTTTGCCATCCCACCACTGCCTCCTCGTAAGGGCAGTTTCTAAAATCTACCTCTTCCAGGTTACCATCACACTTCTTAAAATCCGCACTGGACAGCTTTTTTTAATTAAAAGTTCAACATGAAATATCCACTTCAGTCATAACCTTCAGTTGATAATCAGATCCTTTTTCCTAATGTCTATTGTACTTCTGTTGGCCTGCAGCAGATGTGAGTAAATCACCTGGTTCCATCACATGATCATTTTCAAGTAAAGCATGTGTTGCTAAACATCCTTTATTCACACTTTCAGTCATATCTCATATGTAGGTGGGATGCATTGAAATCCAAGCTTGGTTTGGATACTCTTAAGCATGGTGATGTGTCAGACACCCAGCTGACTAAAACAAAATATCTCACATTCCCCAACGCTAGAGCACACTAGAACCTTTCACCATAATATTGTTGTCTCCAGCGAGTGAAAACACATAGATGTTAGTCCCACACTCAAACATTATTTAAACATCCATATTTTAGAATTTAGAGAACTTTACCCCAAGCCTCATTCCCCGGCTTGCCTTAAGCTCTGCCATTGTTAAACACTCTGAAATATTTCCCTGCATAAAGGGCGCTATAATAATGCAAGTTGTTGTTTGTTATTATTGATGATTGTTTCTGCTGTTTTTTTTTGTTTATTATTAGTAGTAGTTTGTTGTTATTATTGCTGCTATTTAGGACAGAATAGAAGAAAGGCAAGTATCTATAATAGACAATCTAGTGAAGCTATTGATACCAAAAATATAGGCCCCCAAATGGCTTTTAAATCCA